TTTTAGTTCATAGAATCTCAAATAGAATTAAAAAAGGAAACATAAAAATAAATAATTTGCTATTTATGGATGCAGGGAAAATTTAAGAAAATTTTTGTTACTTTGCGAAATTTTGCTTTTTTGCTTTAATTTTTACGAGATATTACGACTGCTTAAGCATTAAATAATTCTTCCATGCTTTAAATTTAATTTTTTACAAGCACAAATTAACCAAGGACATGCACCCTGGTAAGGAGCAAACATTTGCAGGTCATAAGTAAAAAAAAAAGTAAAAAAAATCAAAACGTAGAAAAAAAAGTAAGTAAAAATCAAACTCACAACCACGACACCGAAGTCTACTGTTTAACAAATGCGCAAACCAGACTCTCAATATAAAACAAGGGTTCCATATATAAACCATACTAGCTGCTGCCCGCGACTATAACTGATGTATAAACTATATTATTTTAAACTTTCATTAAAATCGATTCAGTAGATATTGCGTGAAAGAGTAACAAACATCCATCCATACATACAAACTTTCGCCTTTATAATATTAGTAATGATTTTAAATTACGAATGAAATCAATGAAAAGATGACTCCAGCTGGTACGAGCTGGAGTGACAAAATAATATATTAAATATACTTTTGAGACCATCGTAAAATTGTAAATTAAAATAAAGTTCTTTGAAGCTCCGGCTCATATTTTTATATTATTCGTAAGAAGACTATTCGACCATTCACGCTGTTCAAGTGGATCTAAAAATGTAGAGGTCTCCAATAAAATTTCACTTACACACGAAATACCGTAATTTTCACGTGACGATGCTGTACTCTTGAATCAAAAAGTCATATAATTGACACGCGATCATACAAATCTGAACCCTTCCTATTTAACATAAGGTTCATTTCTCACGTCCGCTCGTTCAGATTTATTCACTTCTCAAGGGCCAATGTTAAGAATTGGCAGTCATTGTCAGAGAATAATGGGCGTTCGTGGGATGAATACAATTTAACTTCATGCGCGGTCAAAGTTTAAAAGCTACCATGTTCAGTACACACAGCTGCACATTCAGTAGTGAAACCTGTATTTTATTATATCTCTGACTTAAACAAGCGTTTGAATTTCTTAGACAATATAAACAATATCAGTTTATCGCTTTTTAACAAACTTAAGTAGTTACCACTCATGAATATACAGCAAAGAATAGAGTACAATTAAATAAATCAGAAACATGAAATTCAATTACTTGCTTATAAATTATAATTTACTTACCATAAACCATTCAGCGTAGTTTGCCGATATAGATAAATTTTACATACTTACACAGTTGGCAGAAATATGTATACGTAGCAGTTTAGATTTGTTTAACATATCTAAAAGCAAGCTACATGGCAAGATTACGTGCTACTTTCCATCATATATTTTTATAATTTTGTTGCCAGCGCCAACACGTAAGTTATAATTTAGAGTAATAAAAGAAATATAACCAAATATTTGCAATTGCATTTAATCATTTCATTAGTACGGGCCCCGGGATTTGGAATTAGGTTGTTCACGTATAGTTTGAATCTGGAAATAAAAGTGAATGTCTGGACACAGAGCATTATTTGTATGAGATTTTACTTAAAAAATGGTGAAAACTTATAAAAGCCCTAAAGAAAATAAAACGATAATTTTCACATTCATACTAAAAAAAACCTTAAGGGCAAATTGTTTTAAAGAGTTTATTTATGCGTACTTAAGTGTTCATTTTAATAAATACATGTAACGTGTATAAATACACTATTTCTTACACATGAAATTATTTTTTATTAATTTTTGATAACGAGGTAGATAAATTAATTCATCTTATAACTAGCAGAAATTCTCCTTTCTACACACCTACAAAGATTTATAAAATTATGCCTAAGAAACATTATTAAACAATAATTTCACGAAAATTCAAGTAACATGTAGAATGCTATCAAATTTTACCTAAAGTGATGCTCCAACTAACTCTAACTTTTATACGTATAATGAAAGATATAGCAGAGCCTTTGTTAAAATGAAAATTGAAATATTTTGGTAGTAGCGAAAAGTTTCAGTAATTAATTTTTTTATAAAGGAATTAGTCTTATTAAATTCATAAAGATCTAGCTATGCTACGATAATATTTTGGTCGACACGGTGGGCTTTTATTTTTATTACAGTCAGGTTGTAAATTACTTTTTATGGTTATTAATGTGCCATTTTATTTTTATTCGTTAGCATGTCATTATTATCGTCACAAGGGTTGTTCCTTTTCATTTTCTAATATAAATTGTCTATAATCTCTACCTTACCTTTTTTATTACTCATTCGCTAACGTGTGTCCAAATATCTTGAATGGTACAGGGTGATATTATCTTAGAAAACATTATCAAATTATTCCACTCCTTCGTACAATTATGAACGAGAAGGCACACCACTTATATCAATGCTGAGATGGGAGAAAAGATGGCGAGAGTCTACCTGATAGCGAAGGTGGGAGAGAAAATAAAACGTGCTATTCCAAGACACATGACCGACATGTAACCTATAAACGACCAAGGTACTTTGTGCCTCTATTCGAAGAACACTTACGTGTAAGATGTTATTCTTCGAGTTCGACAATTATTTAATAATATATATACTCGGACGATTAGACTCTCCATAGTTCTGGAGGGACACATAAGCGAGAATAAGGCATAATCAGATGAGTGAGCTGATTTCAGCGAAATCATTATTGACAATCGCAAACAGGAGTTGAAAAGGAGCTGCCGTGGCAGCTCAGTGTCCGGCTGAGCATTTTTAATGGAGTTTAATTAAAAGCAACTTGAAATCCAATTCCAGTGCTGGCACGAATAAAGAATTTCATTGAAGTTTGAAGTGGCTGTCTTGCCAATGCGAGTAAATTGTTTGTTTAAATAATAATTTGAAAATTATGTAAAGTCCACCAATCTGCACTGAAGTCACATGTTAGCCTAAGATTTGCTCCTTTTTAAACAAAGCTCGTATAAGCCTAATACGGGATGTGTACATATAGATACATAGGCTGTTACGTTACTTAGTTTTTATGTGTCGACCTGCTAATATACTCTTAAAAATTTAACAGAGTGTGGAGTCATTTCTTGTATTGGTCGGTATCAGCACGACTGCTCTCATTTTCATACAATAAGCAGGTAACAAGTTGTATATTTAAAAATAAAAAATAAACATAAGATGTGGTAAAAAAACAAGCGCGGTAACATATTCACACTGCATTGATTCATAATTATTATAATGTAACATTATTAACATTAAACCTAACCGTATGGATGATCCACAACCAAATCAAAGCAAAGTTTGTCGCTCAAATATATCATATATAAAAATAAGCATATAAAACGGACGTTTATAAAACTATAACAGATTTAGTGAGATCATGTTTCTATCCATTGCAATGTTTGGAAAAAGGCCAATATTGCGCGTCCTTGACCGTTGACCGATACAGCCTGTCACATCTAGACTTATTATCTCTTTGCTGGAAGTCTAGCAAACTGGAACAAAAGACTATGGAGTTTTTGATTTCCCGATTCCTTTTACAGTTCTTATTTCGAACATTATTAAATCGTATTCAATGCAATAGAAACAGAATAAGAAACAGCGAAGGCTAAGCACATCCGATAATGTATCGTTTGATGTTTCTGAATATCTCATTTACAATATGATTTTGTCCCACAAAAGTCGAATAAATATTGTTACATACCAGTTAAAGCGCAGTTCTTGCGTTATGATTCTGTACAGATAAAATAGTTTTATAGGTATGCCTTCAAATCAGATTTTAGATAGTCTTATATAACGGAAGGTATTTTAGAGTGCATACGAGGGAAAAGTGAAATTTGGTAACAATTTTAAAACAGACCGTCAATGTTTCTTTTTCAACATTATTTTCAACTTCATGCTCGTTCTATCAGAAATGAAGTTTAAACTATTTGATGTAAAACGAAAATACATAAAAAACAGTTTATTAAAAATAGAAGTATAAAACCTTTTAAAACCAAGGCTTGGAAAATGTTATCCCTTTTTTATTCCCTTTCCTTCTCGACAACATTTCTTCCGTGTGGTGAGTCTCAACGTAAATCACAGCCCCGACTACTGTTTTTGTACAATAGAGAAATTTAGAATACCAACCACTTCAGTTAATTTATGGATGTAAGTGGAAATGCTAGCAAACATGTTTCAAAGTGAATTGTTATTTAAACGGAACTTTTATTTAAAAAAAAATATGTAACACCAAACTTATGATTTCATTTAAATTAATAAATAAATAAAAGATGATAGTAGCACCAGTTTAACTTTGTCTGTAAAACATTTTTTCATACCACTAGTCTTTGTTATTATTCAATAAAGTCCTAAGTTTTTACTTTCACTCTTTTCGTCCTTTACATAATAAGGTTAATTATATTTTTATGTACACTATTTACATTTATTACAAAATTCAACGATTAGCCATGTATTTGACGTATCTCAGACGCAATTACAAAGCTATTTTTTTATTTTTTTAAAGTTATACTTTATTGGCACGTTTGGAAAAAAATTGAGAGTAAAATTTTTACGATGCGCGCGTACACCGACCCTCTAAAAGCGGAAATGATGAAATTGAACCAATTTTTTTATCTTGTCGGTTTCCGTGGTAATATGCCACGTGAAGCAACCAACTTCAAGGCATTACCATTGCAAACCAATAATAATTTTGAGATTTACCAATAATTCCAAGTTATTTCAATAAACCGTTGACAAAATTGTATTTACGCTAAACTATAACTTCTTACGTGCGTACATAAGTACACCCATACTTTATTCTTAATTTTAAAGAAATTTATTGCTTGTTTTTTGTAAGTTTTAAGAAAAATTGATTTTATTCAAACACATTTAACAAACAAAAATATATCTTTCTCAGAAAATTAAAATTTTGATGACGATGACGACCATATGATTTTCTTGGAAGTATTCAGTTAATGAAATGAGAAATCTCTAATTGAGGACTACTTTATTATCTATCAAAAATGATGGTCTGGCGTTGGTACAGTTTTCGTGTTCCTTTTTGAAGCAGTGCTCCTCGACCAGAACATTGTTCTCTTCGCACTCGCAGATAAAACAATTGTCCATTATTTTACCCAACTTGTTACATGCATATTTTGTATGGTTATGTACCATAACTGCCTTTAATATTTCCTCGTTCGTTATTATATCTGAAATCAATGAAAGATAGTTTAATTTTCTTTTAGTATTAACCACAAATTCAAATAAGCGTATCCTGCAAAGGTCAGCACCACCTCGTCCACATACATACACGTAATGACAGCACACACAACCAAATAATAATTCATCCTCGCCCGCAAGCTCGATAAAACCAACATACAACGTTGACATGGTATTATTACTCCCAGGGCGGTTCTAAGTGCCCTCATTCAAAGATTAATAAATACAGTTAACTATCGAGGCCACCGTCAGTACCGACCCTGGTGAGTGACGAGGAGAACCAAAACATGGAATCTGATGCTCCCCGAGATTTGTGTTCAATGAAGCTTTCTCTACTGACTGATATTAAGAACATCGGTCCTTTAAATAATAATTTCCTGTGTTTATGCGATTACACATTACTAAATTAAAGTATGTTTGTAAACGGAGAATAGTAACTCTTTAGAGTTCAATTCCATTCCTAAATCCAAAACACAATTCACTATGGATCCTATAATCAATAAAATTAAATCTAGGTCCAAACAAACCGCTACTGTAAGACAATATAAAATTAGCTAATTTTGCGTAAATCCACACAATAATTAATAATTTTAAAACCTGACGGTAGCCCGGACTGACAATGACACTCAGATGTCCAACCTGGGGCGTTGTCTGTCCCGTGACCATGAACTCTGAAAAGGTTTCGAAACTTCGGGAAATAAAACTAAAAATAAACGCGATAAATCCCTTAATATTGTTTCATTTAGTATTCACTCCTTTAAGTTTTTAAAAAACCACAAACAATATATAAACTAGTTCGATCCGCCGACAAAGTTACCTTGGAATGATATGTCTCGACGTCCCATCGGCTCATAATACACATTTGGAAATGGTTGTTCACAATAAAATCGGTTGTTAAGTGGCCGGCAGAAGTAAAGTATGTTCCCCATGTATGGACATATGCACAGTTTACATCTGAAATAATTGATTGATAAATTAATTTCGGGGTCTGATTTGGCTCTCAATAGAAATCTACATCAATATTCACAATATTTGTTATCGTTTAAAGTGAATTGTTTCCTAAAAAGGCTTAAAATTATTAATTTGTAATGCTTTCTACTACCTGATAATATACATAGTCCCAGGTGTACATCGCTGCTCATCTTCGGTCGCGTTATATTTAATACATGACGAGTTTAAGTCACGACGACTTCGAGCATGCGGCGTCTCGTTCAAAAATTCAACTCTTTGTAAATCCTCACAGGTAAAAATAATTGCATCAATGCTGAATCACATGTTCTTAAAATAATAATCTTATAATTAAAGTATACGTTGAAGATACTTATATTTAATGCTTGTTTATTTTTAGCAAAAACAAAATAGGATGAGAATGGATGAGAAGATAAGAATTCAAAAATATGAAGAAAAACAATTCAGTTCTAAAATTGTCAATATAAAAATTATAAATAAAAGTTAAAACTAAAAGTTTATTCGTTAATCCCATTAAACGTCTGCGTATATTCTGCCCATCTGTTTACCCCTTATTTTCTCATCATCAAACAGTCCACTACAGAACAAAGCCGGTATTTAATTCATCTCACTGAATATTACGATCCCTTGCACATATCACTACTCCATATTTTGGACATATAAACGGAAAAATCAAATGGTGTTATTAACACTTACTGCTCCAGTCGGCATGAGATCCTTGTCATTACATTGTGAAGCATCACACTCAGCGTACAGCTTTAACCCCATCTCAGGACACACACATTGCTTACAGCCTATAGTAAACTGTTCCCCAGGAAAACATAAATCCAGACTTCTTTTAGTATCACTTCCTATTCGGTCCTCCAACAAATTTTCTGGCTCTTCAAAATTGGTCCACGTTGCAATTGCATGACATGTGTAATTTGTGCAAACTCTGTCGTCTCTATTACCATTCGGTGGACATAAGCAAACATTACACATTTCACTGAAGAGCTGCCCAGGGGAGCAACTATCCGATCTCAAGAACTTTTTTTCGCACAGGTTCTTTGTGCATTTTGCAACATTTTTTAAGCCATCACTAGGGCAATAACAAACATTGCAATCTACCTCATAGTAAGCCAACGGCTCGCATGTGAATTTGACGTTGCTACGAGTCAGATCGACTTCCGTGCAATAATTCTTAGTACAAGCCTTTTCCTTCGACAACCCGCTTTCAGGACAAATGCAAAAGTTGCATTTTTCTCTGGAAATGGATCCGGGCGTGCAAACCTCTGATATGCTTACTAACGAAAATTGATTGAGTTGCTTATGAGATTCTTGTACTGACCTTTTTGCATCACAATCATCGTACGTACACCACTTTGGGTCAATTTTTCCTTTTTTCGAACAGTAACATGTGTTGCAATCAAAGTCCACAAATGTCTGAGGCTTACATGGCATGTCTATATTAAAATTTTCGTGGTTTTCGGATGGTTGAATGGGTTTTGTATCGTTAAGTAATTTGCAAAGTTTAAAATTTGATGCAGTGCTACCACAAATACAATATTTCCCCTCATATAAATAAATAGAATTAGGTTTACACGAATTTTGTGACGTCATTATTTTTAAATCATTTTTTTGTATGAGGTTTTGTGTTTGCATATTTTCGGATAAGATTCTTTGCAATAAATTAAATTTACTTTGATAATTACAACCTCTAGAACAATATTTTCCGTTCGATGATCCATTTTGAAGACAAAAGCATTCTACACAAACTGGTACAACTTCATCTGAATTACATTTTCCTGTGAAGTTTGCACTCTTTAATTCTAAATTTGTAGAACAGTTTGTGACAACACAAGAATCTTCATTAATTGTGCCATTAGAGGTACAGTCACAAAACAGACACATTGGTCTGGTAAATGTGTATGGTGTACATTTTTTCCCTATCTTACTGAGTGATATTATGTAAGTGTTTTCCGAATCGACGTCACAAGGAATGTTTGTGCAAAGTTTATCGTCTTTAATCTTGTTATTTGAACATTGGCAAACATTACAACCTCGCCTGTAGAAAGAACCTGGTTTGCACTCTTGATTTAGATTAAGTTGAGTTGGTTGTTGACAAACTTCAAAACATTTTTCAAGAAGAAATTTCCCTTCATCTGAACAGAGACATTGAAGGCATGGGAAAACATACATCACGTTGGGTATACAGTTAGTTTTTGTAGTTGTCATATGATGACGAGCTTGCAACTGGAGATTCACTAAGCAAGATGCATCTACAGTACATATTGCTTCGGCCGTATGACCCGATACTGGGCATAAACAGTTACTGCAGTTAATTTTGTAGTATTTCAAAGGTATGCACCAGTTGCCGATGGCGGATAGTTGTTTTCGAGTGGTAGATGACTTATCAGTGCAGTAAAAGTTTGTGCATTGAAATTCTCCTTTACCATCACATTGGCATTGGTTGCATCCCAGCCGTATTACCTGCCCTCGTTGGCATGTTCGTCGTCTTGACACGTATTGACAGTTCTCTTCTAACCACAAACCCTTAGAATCACAGTGGCAAAGCTTTCCGTTAAGCAGAAACTGTGTCTTTGGAATGCAAGTGTCTGAAAATCAAATAGTACTTCACATTTCGGCAAATCAATTCGATTCTATTGAAATCAACTTACGAAATATCGTCGATTCCTCGGAAAATGATGTGCCTAACGCCAAACTGATTATTATAATAAACATATCTTTTAAAACACAGAATGTTTGGAGTATACTAATAATAAGCTAGGATGCTTATTTTAAATTGAGTTGCTTATTTCAGTTTGATTAACGAAATATTGTTTAACAACTTAATCTTATCAACATTGTAAATGGCATAAAATTACTGTACGCTTTGTAAAACTTTTATAGTTATTGCAAAATTGATATCACAATACTGTATAAGATCAAGTGGCAGTAACTTGCGGTTCTTCAATATATCAATCGATATTAATTGATGTTTGTAGAAAACAAGCAAGATTAAATTTAACCATTTTTCTGTTTCCTTTACTCTACCTAATATATGAGTAGACGAAAAACTTGCTTCATCTAAGCCTATTTATTGTCTTCGTCAAATACAATTTCACATCACGCACGAGTGCTTTTGTCTTTGCGAAGTTGTGACGTGTTTTTGTTATTGCTTTTAAAGCCGAAAGAATATTTCTCAGCTTCCTGTGGTCGTGCTTATCATACCAATAGGAAGAAATTTCAACACTTTTTACACACAGTTAAAACAAAAGTACATCAACCGCTTTAAGACAACTTCTTTATTTCCTTTCACATAAATTATGGCTCTTATTTTAAATGTATGTTACATCCAAAATTGATTCCTTTCATAATTTTTTTATGAAAGAGAAAGTAATTTCTTCTCGTTTTTAAATTTAAATAGTGAAATTGATTCATGGAGCGGAAAATTTCTGTAAAATATCGCACATCCTATAAGGTCTTTTATAACATATATACATACATGTGGACGCGTGCTATAGAATACTTACATTTTTAATTTAATATTAAATAGCTACACACGAAATATTGCAAATTGTTATTACTTTGTAGAATAAATATGAATATCAAGGTTATGTCGTACGTGAATTGCGAAATAATATTAATTGATTGTCTAACTGCGATGACAAAACTTACAAAAATGCGTCCAACTGTCGGTTCAATTCAAAACAAAGAGAAAATTATAGATCTTACAGATTCTTTTAAGACATTGTCCAATAAAAATGCCTTATTTGTAATATAAATATATTATTATTAATTACGGTAATGCCTATCCTATCTACTAATCTGGAACATGTAACCCGAAATATGCAACATGATGTAAAAGTGTGTTGAAGTTTCTAAGTCCATCCCGAATTTACTCCGTGACAAGCGATTTTATATGTATATAGAAATTAAAACTTTGTAGAAAAAAGGAACGACTGTTTCTCGGCGCTGTGGGAATCGAACCCACGTCTTCGGGATTCGCGTCCTGATCCTCTAGCCACTAAGCTAAACGGCTGATTGTCACACCGACGAAATTTTCAACTCCTTTTATCTACATTGTTTTTGTAGCATTTTTAGCAATGCTTGGGGATTCCCACAGCCAGCGGCGAGTAACTTTTCGTTTTATTTTTCTACACAATTTTAATATCCATCTTAAGTGCAGAGATTAACACTATAAAATATTGAAATTTCTATATAGAGATGTCATCTAAATTATTTCGTTAATAATTATAAACTATGGGCTGAAAAAAAAAACAAAGCATTTACCATCAAATTAAAATAAAATACAATTAGAAACGATCACTGCCATCACTTTCGGGGGTATGCATAAACGAATAAATCTTAACTTCACCAAAACTAACACTTAAAAGAAGTTATTAAAAATAGCGCTACGCGACTCCATTAAAAGCCATAAAATAAATAATGAAAACACTTTGTGGAACGCAGCAAACGCGAACGGGCAAATGGAACATTAATGATAATGAAATATGCAATATGAATTAATGCGAAGCCGTTAAAATGCAATGCACGATTAATGACACAAGTACCCGGAGGACCGAGCTTTGCTCGGTTTTTTTTTTGGTAAATCGTGCATTTTGGAAATTACATTTAGATACAAATTACTGAGTAATGAAATATGCATAATATTTTTCGATCTTACCGACGTAATAATAAGAAAATATGAACTGATGTTTTTCACTAAAGAAAGAACTTACCTTTTCACCATTTGATTTTGTAATAGTGTACTTTTTATACTTATTAATATCGATGTTTTGTGTCTATATCATAAAGTGAAAATTTTTGAAGGTTCCAAATCGCTATTCAGGACAAATTATCCAATTTCCGCGGCTGGTGACAAGAGAGCTGGTTCTTTTCTCGCGCAAAGGTTAAGCATAAAATGATCAAGCGAACATACATATCTTATCCTTTAAACGAGCAATTCTTGTATATATATATATATAATAAAAAAAAAAAAAAAAAATTTAAATGATCAAGCGAACATAAACGGCTCCAGCGATATTTCATGAAATTTAGCGTATTTCATGTAAATTCGGGTGCGTAGATTCGGGGGCGAAAAATCGATCTAGCTAGGTTTCATTTTCAGAAAATGCCCTTTTATCCCTGTTTTCGGGGAATGAAAAATATAATTCGAATATGACGGTAAATTTCACCGCAAGAGAAAATGTCATAATAGCTCGGTCGGTAATCGGGCGGCCCCAAAACAGACGGCCGTGGTTCGCGTCACGATCATTTACACATTTATTTTTTTACTTTTTTTTAGATTCCAGATCATTGCTTTCTTTTTTTTTTTTTTTAATTTTTTGTCGATTTGTTATTTTGTTATTTTTTCACTTTTTTTTAAAGTTCTTTCTTTAGTGAAAAACATCAGTTCATATTTTCTTATTATTACGTCGGTAAGATCGAAAAATATTATGCATATTTCATTACTCAGTAATTTGTATCTAAATGTAAGGTTATAATTATATTGTAGATGATTTTTACTTTATTTTTAATTTTACTTGAGTCATCCACACAGCAGCTTTCGTTATTGCAAAAAGTCCGAGGTACTATCACGGCCCCACAGAATATCGACATAAAGTAAGAAGTACGTATGGTTATTATCGAGTCATTGAAGTACGCGGAAAGTGTACTCTCCAAAAGTTTGGTGACAAAATTGCGACCCAATGGGTGGCGGTAAATACTTAACACCAGGTGAACCATGCATGCCACATTTCATGCTCATTAAGTAAAAATCGGCCAAGTGCGAGTCAGACTCGCGGACGAAGGGTTCCGTGCCATTATCTATAAAAACGGCAAAAAAAGTCATGTCTCTTGTATAGGAGCCCCAATAAAACATTTTTTTCCTATTTGTTTTATATTGGCAACAGAAATACATCACCTGTGTAAATTGAAACTGTCTTACTATCACGATTCATCAGATACAGCCTAGTGACAGACGGACAGACAGACAGCGTAGTCTTAGTAATAGGGTCCCGTTTTACCCTTCAGGTAAGGGACCGTAAAAAGACGTATATAGCAAATGTCCCTGAAAAATAACGTCAATTTTCTCTGTCATTATGTGAAAAAAGCCAAATGAAGAAGTTAAAGAGCTAAGTTGAAATTCTGAACTCGATGCTAATGTATTTTTTCTTTTTTCTTAGTAAACATCCACTATCCACTATAACCAGTAGACGGTACTCAAACTTATTTTTTAATAAAATTATAATTCCAACCTTTTATTGTTATTTTATTACAAAAATTTGAAATGAGGTTAAGCCTAAAATATCATAAAACTAATTAATAACTCAGTTCTAACAAACGAAGAGAGATTTCCTTTGTGGCCAGTAAAATATGACCATAGCGCAGACTGAACACGTTGTCCTTCATCATTTTTAAGACCTCTTCGTTTAAAACATCAAATGTATTTTTAATGTTATATTCTTAGGCTTAATCATTGCAAGTTGTGAAAAACTTGTTGTGTATTAACTGAAGGAATACTATAAATAAATAGGAATGTGACATTTTAATAACCATGACATACAAACTTTAAAATATTCCTTTTTTTTAATTAAATTCGTTATTTAAGATATCTGCGAGCTAGTATATTTTTTTAATTAGTTATTTCAAATTTGTAACGAGCTTAACTTAAATTATGTTGATTGAATGCAACTTGATGTGAAACTTTTGACTAATTCAAATTAGTCACCTTTTCTTAGAAGCTTTAATTTCACTTCATCTGCATTATTGACTCAACTATCGTATATGATATTGACCATAACATTAACATTGACATAACATAGTCAATACATAATTAAATGCGAGATGAAAATTGATTACTTTGCTTTATAAATAAACCTAGATCTGGTATGATTGGTGAAACATTTTCATAACAGCTTAGCAAATATCGTTGTATGATAATAAATTGAAAATGTATTAAGTAACTGAAAGTAGTAAAACGAGATCTTTCCTTTTATAAAGCAACAAAAATTTACAGCGCAAGTTTGCTGCACTCGTGAATAATAAACAGTGCGTTTTCCAGTATAATGTTGGTCGCCCGCACGCAGCTGAATGAGAATTCCCATCTCCCCATACCTGTTGACCCCCTTAGCCCAGACTTCTGAATGCAGGTGGAGAAAAGAGAAAATACTTTAACGCTTCACCGAAACGTTAAACACTGACCTTTTTTATGTGATAAAATGGCTAACGAGCTGGCGGTTCAGCTAATGTTAAGTGATAACCGCCGCCCATGGACATTTGCAACACCCCGTAGGGTTGCAGATGCGATGCCACCTTTTAATAAAGTGGGCCCCAGCTACCTCACTCACCAGACGAAACGCAGAAGTTTAATACTTTTTTTACCTTAACTTTTAAGCGTGAAATAATGACCCAATAATATTCATTTCCTGTATTCTTTTAGGTTCATATGAGTAAATCCATGATTCGTCACCTGAGACGATATTATAAACGTCATTTGACTTCCCTACGTTGAAGCGTTGCAGAGTATTCCGGCACCAATCTACACGAGCCGCCTTTTGCTCTTTGGACAAATTGTGGGGAACCCAGCGGGAATCTAGCTTTCTTACACACAGCTTTATGTAATATCGACTGAACTGCAGTCATTCCGACACTGATAACAGCCCGAATCTGCTCGTATGTCGCATGACGGTCATCTAATATAATAGTTTGCACAGCTGCGATGTTTTCAGGCGTGACCG